GAAGGATCTGTGCCACAGCCAGGAGCTGCCAGTGCACATGCAGTCTCACGGTTGCAAGTTATCACTTAAGCCTATTTCTGAGCTGGGGGGCAGCCTTACCTACTAAAGAACTGGCAAGTTCTGGCAACAGCAAGCTGGATAGGGGCCTCTTTCTGCCCAGCTGCTGGGGAAAGCAGGCGATCAAAATCCCTTACCATTTTCCTTCTGGTCTGGACTCCAATTCCCCAGAGAAGCTGGAAGGCTTTAGAAAGAAGCCCCTTCTGGCTGGCTACAAGCCTACTGTACTTCACTCTCTCCATCCAAGTTTTAACCCAGATAAACCTTGCCTTGGCTGCTTCCCTCACTCCTTCCTTCCCAGGACTCCTGGAGGAAGAAGCACTGCCTGGAAAAAATGCTGTCACCACGAGAGCTCCCTGTGGCTGGGAGAAAGGCAGAGGGAACAGGGAGCTCCTTCCCTGGCTGGCCACAGCACGAGACTGTGTTCCAGGAAGAGCAAGAGCAAGAGCGACTGCCAGGGAAGTCTCAGACCCAAGCCCCTCTTCACCAGCAATTGCAGGCCTCTGGGAGACCCCACCCCCACCCCAGCAAAACTCCGGTTCTCCTCTGACAGTGGCAACTTTCTTCTTACATAATTCTTGGTGTTTCCTTCGCTGTTACACCTAATTTTAATGAGTAAAAGAGCCAGAGCAGTCTTTGAAGGAAAAACTCCCACCCCCGGCTCTACCCAAACCTCCCCTGAGGTCACACTGTGAGGCTTCAGGTGAAGCAAACAGGGGACTTTTTTCCCTTGGCTGAGAAAGCAGCCCTTCCTCCTGCCCATCCACGTGAGCAGCTCAGCCTGGGGCCTGGGAGGGTAGGTTCCCAGGAGCACAATCTGATCTCTGGGAAAACGGCGGGCCCTCAACTGCAGGGACAGAGTCCCCTCAAAGGCGCACAGACACCAGGCCTGGGCCACATGTCTAGGGTGGAGTAGATCGAGCAGTTGTTCCCAGGGCACAATGAACTTCATTTATACAAGCCTCAGTGGCCTGAGATTGCTTTCCTACTACAAGCATTTCCTCTTCCTTGATAGGAGCAAAAGGCAAATGCACTGGACTCAGTGGGAACTGATGAAATGAGAGTTGCCATCTGTTGAATACCTAGTATGTGTCACTTTGCATGCATAATCCTGTCTAACCTTCATGGCCTATGAAGTATCAGTATCATCCACATTTTACAGGTGAAGAAACTGAGGCCCAAGAAGTTAAGCAATGCCCAAAGCCACAATGCAAGAGGAGAGGCTGGGGTATGAACCCAGGTCTGCCCAGGCCACATTCTGATGCACCCACCAGAGTTCCTGCAGTCATTGCCCAAATGACTGTCCACACACCATCCAGGAACGGCGTTTTGAGTAGGGGGGCAGAAGTCATCAAGAATTTTGCTTGATGGCTCCAGAATCTGATCTGATGCACCAACTATTATTGCTCCCAAGTGTGTGACTGTGAGAGCCCATGTCTCTCCCTTTCCTCTCTCTCTCTCTCTCTCTCTCTCTCTCTCTCTCTGTGTGTGTGTGTGTGTGTGTGTGTGTGTGTGTGTGTTGAGGTGGAGGGAGGGTGATCTGGATTCCAAATTGCAGTTTCCAACATTAAAATTATGCTGTAATGCTTCTGATTCATAAAATGAGCTCATAGTCTCACCATATCCTGAATGTTGCTTCGAATGCAAATGCAGATAGATCCCTTAGTAAGAACTGGGGATTTCAGCATACTCCACCCTAGCCTCAGCCCAGCATGCAATTTTTCAGTCCCAGAGTCAAGAGGTCTCATTTACAGAAAGAAGCAATCCCTCCAACAGAATGCGACCACTGGCTCTACTTCCTGCCACCTGCAGTGAGTCAGGGAAGAATGGAGCCCCAGGCTGCTTCTGTCCTGATGCATGCGTGCCTGCACACACACAGGAAGGGTGCCAACCTGGGCTGGCCAAAGGAAGTGCTCAGGCTAGCAGATCCCCAGAGAGATGGCTCCACAACTCTTTCATCCTGAGGTCCCCTTGGGGTCAGGATGACCGAGACATGCACTCCACAAGGCCAGCTACATGGCAGTGCCAGGAAACTGGGTTCACCAGCACCACAATCATCCACAGTAGACCGACCTTTTTGAAACCAGTGATGCAATGTGAGGAGGTCCCAGCAGCAGGGACTCACTGGGCCCAGCACGTGCCAGGTCCATATTTTTTTTGATGGAGATCTTTCACCACTTTGTTTAACTAACATGCACTAAAGCCAGGCATGGTGGCTCAAGACTGTAAACCCAGCACTTCAAGAGGCCAAAGCGAGTGGATTTCTTGAGCCCAAGAGTTCAAGACCAGTCTGGGCAACACAGCAAAACCCCGTATCTATAAAAATACGAAATTAGCCAGGTATGGTGATGTATACCTGTAGTCCCAGCTACTTGGGAGGCTGAGGTGGGAGGACTGCTTGAGCTCAGAAGGCTGATGTTGCAGTGACCTGAGATCGTACCACTACGCTCCAGTCTGGGAGACAAAGACCCTGTCTCTAACAACCAAAATAAAAAAGCACTGAACACTTACTAGATGCCAAGCATTGTGCAAACCCTTCAGAGCTCACACTAAAAGCAGAGGCTACCATAATACTGAAATGTGCTTTAAGCATTTTACATATACTAACTCACAGAATCCTCACAGCAACTGTATGAAGGAGATACTGTACAGGTAATCTAGCTCGGAGTCTTTGTTTTTAACCACCACACTACAGTGCGTACACAAATAACTACATAAGGTAGAAATGAGTGTTCAGAAGATGCCTTCAGCCTTCAGAAGTGGCATTTGAATCAGGACTAGAAGGACAAACCAGAAACCCCTAGCCACTTTGTGGTCCCCTCCCCAGCACGAGCAAGAGAGGGGCTATCAAGGCCAAAGATTCCTGAACTGGGTCCATTCCCCTTCCCCTCTTCTGTCAGAGGTCTTGGCAACGCTGGGCAGCCTTTCTCTGGGGACTGTAGCCACAGGAGGCCCTCAGCTGAAGTCCATAACTGCATGTTGTCTTCTCTTTTTTTCCATATATTGAAAGCAGCAGCCCACAGGGTCAAACACTGGGGCTATTTTTAAATCTCACATGTAAAAATTAAATTCTCATCCACATGGGCACTCCAGGGCACTCTTTCCTGGGGTGAGGTGAGGAGCTGACAGAGCCACAGGAGTGGGGGTTCTGCTGACACTTGGAGATGCCACACTGGCAGTGGGTAGGTTGCTCTGGAGCAAGCTGGAAAGCTGTATGACCTGGGGGCATCCTCCAGGTTCTTCACCCCCTTGTCCCCCGGGGAGCTACACAGACCAGAGTAACCAGCCAGAAGCCAATCCAATTAGAGTGGAGACTGAACCAGGGCCATGCAAGAAGATGGTTTATCACCGTAATTGAATGTTTACACTCCTATTATTCACTGTCCAGAGCAGTCGGAAAAGGAGGACCTACGAATTCTCAACCCAGGAAGGTTTCTCCTTCCCCCGGGTCCTGAAGCCACATAACACCTGAGGAAAGGATGCATTTCTCTGATCCAAAAGGGGCGTGTGCCACACATTCCGTGGGAGGCTCTGGAGAAAGACAGGTGGCTTCTCCCCTCAGCCCCCTAGGGAGAACTGGCTTCTCAATCCACCTTCAGCAGGCCTTCAGTCTCAACCCTGAAGCTGCAGGAATAAGAAGATCCCAGACCACCAGGCCAGGCTCACCCTGCCGGGGCAAGCTAGACATCCCCTCCTCCAGCCACAGCTGCCAATAGGGATTTCCTGCACACGCGTGCCACCGCAGCTCTCGTGGCCAGCTCCTCTTCCCCCATCCCACGGACCACCCCCCCCCCCGCGCGCGCGAGACTCCACAGGCTGGCACACAGGTCCCACGTGGGATGTGGAAACAGGAAGCAGCCACCGAAGTTGTGACCAACAAAGTTTTTAAATGGGGCATGTAACTTCCCCTTTCATCTCACCAGCTCTCGCTGGAGGCTGGGCCGGGACGGACACGCGGCCTCCACTTTGGTTGGCAGGTACCTCCTCCAGATTGGGCCGCCTTGGGGCTGAAGCCTGAAGGTCCCAGGGCACAAGAGGCTCCCCTTCCTCCACTGGGCCCTTACCCAGAGGCTTTGGGGGCAACCTGGCACACACACTCCTGCATTTGCGACTTGGGAGGCGACGCGACCGGCTCCACCAAGCCGACCATATGCAGGGACTAGCCGAATCCAGGGTTTTGGCGCTGCCGCTAGGCACCACGGAACGCAGCTCCCCGCGAGGCGCCGCGCGGGCTGGGCGGGCTGCGGCTGCGCGGGCGTGCGGGGGCGCGCGGGAGCGCGCGGGAGGATGACAGGTCTGAGGTGCGCCCGCCCGCGCAAACCGCTCCAGCCTAGGCCTCTGCTGACTGCACTTGCCCCAGTTCCCCGCCGCCCCTGCACCTCTGTCCCCCGAACTCCCGGCGCGGACGCCGCGTCCAACCCCCCCACTTTCCCGTGCACGCTGGCAGGGGAAGGGGCTCCCGCGCCAAGTTCCCTCAGCTGGAGAGCCCTTCGTCGCGCCTTCTGGGCCTTGGCTCCGTCACGCCAGCCGGTCCCTGCGGACACCACGTTTCTCTCCCGCGGAGGAGGAGCAGCCGGATTCCCGAGTCGCCGCGGGCCGCCGGGTGGGGAGGGCTTTCCTGGTGGGGCCGCGCCCGGGTGGGCGGGGGCCGCGCGCAAGCTGCGTAGCTGTACAAACACCGCGGGGCTGCGCTGCACACGCAGCTGCGGCTGCGGGCCGCGGGGGAGGGGGCGGCGGGCTGCAAGCGGCCCCCGCACGGCCACACGCGCCCATCCAGCGCCGCCCAGGCAGCAGAAGTTCGCACGCGGCGGCCCCCGCTCCCGGCCGCGCCCGCAGAGCTGCAACCCACCGGGCGAGCGGCCACAGCTCACGCGCCGCCCGGGGTCCCCTCGCCGGCCCCGCCGCGTGCAGGCCTCGGCCGCCGGCCGGGCAGCCCCACTTACCCAGCTCCTGCCCGGGCTCCGGCCTGGGCTGTCCCCCTTCCACCGTGGGCCGCCGCCTTAGGTCGCCTCCGGGACTCCAGCCGCCTGCACGCACTCCCGATTTTAAAAACAAACAGGCGCCGTCGCCTCCCCGCGGCGCTCGCGGGGCTTCGCCAGCCCGCACCCCGGAGGCTGGAAGTTTGCTGGCAGGGCCCGGGCGGGACGCGCGGGCTGTCACCCCCCGCTCACGATGCAGGAGCTTCGGCGCGCCCCTGCTGTCCGCCTCGCGAGCACTCTCCCTCCCTCCGTGTCACCCCCAGTCCTGCGATGCAGTGTCAGGATTGCACGGCTCTGACTCATCGGTTGAGCTCACAGCTTGAAAAAAAAAAAGAAGAGGGCGAGAGGCAACAGCGAAGGAGGAGGACTCTCTGGCGTGCTACAAAGGATTGCACAACTCGAGGCTGGGAGCGCGGAGCGCCCAGCGGCCGGCCGGCGCGCGCGGCACCGCGGCGAGCAGGAACCAGCTCTACCACTTCATCAGCACAACTGTCTCGGGGCGGCCTCAGCCAGCAGGCCCGGCGCCGCCCACTTCCTGCGACCAAATAAGGCTGGGGAAGGCGTCTTTAAACCTCAGGCGGCGGCCGGGGCTGGGGATTTCCAACAGACCTCACCTCCACTCACAAGTCGGTCGCCACCCTCCCCCCGCCCAGGCTGGCGCCCCCGATGGCTTTGCTGGAACCCACGGGCCACGCTGCTAGTTCCTTTCACACAAGGTCAGGAGGAGACGGTGACGAAATGTTTGGAAACCCATCGAGCCTGCCAGGAAAGTCTGTGTGTGATATTGGGGAAGACACAAGTCGCTTTCTTCCACAAAGAAACTCACTCTGGTTTTGGATACGGTAAATCCTGCACAGTCCTCTCCGAGGCACTTTATTAACAGACTCCCCGGGTTTCACTTTCTGGCTCACCAGCGTCCTGGTGCATGTTAAAGGTTATTGAGAAACTAGCCTCAGTCCCTAGAAAGGGCCTACATCTCCACCACTTACGTGAGGAAAATCTCCTGGATTTAATTCTGGCAGCTCAGGCCAGAGTTGCTGCTTTTCACACCATACTCACATTTTCCCCTGCCTTCCCTAAATATCCCCCTGATCGATTCTCTGCCCCAAGCCTTGATGCTTCCTTGCCTGACTGGTGGAAAGACAGGAAACATTTTTGCAGCTCAGGAGGTTGGTTCTGGCCCCCACATTCAATTCGGCTCTAGGGCCAGGGGAAAATTCAGGGGAGGGAGTCCTGTTCTTCCAAGTTTTTTGGTGTGGTGGTGGTGGTGGTGGCTGTTTTTCAAGGAGATGGGTCAGAAGGAGATTTTTCCTTTGAAAGAAAAACCACCGAAGAATACAGTGTGTCCTGGCAGCCACTTTTCAAAACGCTGTGGCCAGACCTGAGAACCAGGTGCATCCCTCACTTTCTCAGGGAAGAGGGAGGGGCAGCAGAATATGATTCTCACACACTCACTGAGCTTACAGGGCCAGGGTGGGGAGTGGAGGACACAGGCAAAACTTGGATCTTCTGCTTAGAAACCCTGCAAAACCTGCACTTGCTCCTAATGGGCATGGCTGTCCTGTCCTCTTCCACCTCTGCTGGCTGGAGCACCTGCCTACACCTGGAAGTCACACCTCCCCAAGAGGAAAAGGGCCTATTTCCATGATGTTACGACAGATATGTCAAAATAAGGAACACTTACAATAATCTTATCTGCAAAATACAGATAATTATGCCAGAGGATATCCCTTCCAGTTGAAGATCCAGGATTCTGTGATTATAAGTGAAGAGTGGAGCTAGGGAAACCACCTTCTACAGAAAAAAAAGCCCAGGTTCCCAGATTTAGCATCCATGATGACAGTACTGTTCCTGGCAGTTCTCAGAGCACTTCGTACAGTCTCCTGAACAGCTCTGCATGCGAGAGTTTTACCCTTCTCATTCTGTGGATGAGAATACTGAGGTTTTCTCATCTGAGGTTCAAAGAGGTTAAGTGAATTGCACCAGGACACAGGGCAAGCCAAACATCTGTTACCTCTCTGCTCCTCCCCCAGAGGAAGGCAGTGAGCAATTGAGGAACTGCAGTGCTCAGGCATGCAGACCCCCAAGCAGAGGCAAGACTCTCAAGACTCCTGGCAGAGGATCAGGGTAGAACCTTTTTACTTTTTTCATTTGCCTTATTTCTTCCCTCCCACTGACAAGACAGCCAAGTGAGGGAAGCAAAAGCAAAGCCATTTGGTCTCCAGCGCCCAAAGCTGCCAAGTTCCTCTGCAGACCTGTGGCCATCCTGACCTCCCCTGAGAGCCCAGCCCCTGCAGCTGGCCTTAGGCCAGCCCAGAGTGAGCCCCTGAGAGCTAGTGCAGACCAGCCCAGGGATGTTCCCAACCAACCAGAAAACCCAGCTGGGGAGCGCATTCCTAGAAGAGCCTGCCACCATGGAGCCAGGGCCCAGCCTTCAGGGAACAAGTGGGACCCACTCCAAAGGGCACTCCTCAGCCCTGCCCCGCCACGACTTCCTGCCTGTCCCACACCAGGCTGCAGGATCTGGCCCAGGAAGTAGCACATGGACTGGAGGCAGGTGGCAGGGGAAACAGAGAGGTCAGTGGCCCTGAAGGAGCCTTGCTCACCTTGGAGCAGCACTGCCTTTCCCTACAACTAAACTTCCATACTCAGACCACCTAAGAAAGGAGAAGAGAGAAGAAAAGTGGCACACGTGTGCAGGGGAGGAGGGCTCAAGACCATACCAAATAGCCCCCGCTTGGCAGGAGGAGAAGTCTGCCTCGAAAAGGCGGGCAGATGAGGCTATGTAAAGAAAGCTGCAGTGCTTCTGGGAAAGCCCTGGAGGTCAGTTTTGCTGCAGATATGACAGTGCAGAATCACTGATGTGTGAAGTGAAAGTTTTGGTTTTAGAAGCTCTAGCCCCTCCTGCAAGCCTCTGGGGCAACCAAGAAGAGTGACCTTTCAGAGAGGTAGGGAGGTGTTCCAGAGAACTTATCCACAGAGTGGGATTTTTCTCCACCCTCAACCCTCTGTACAAACTGCAAGTAAAAGGAGTACAGAGCTCCAGCTACCAGGGAGTGTGTCTGACGAGAGAAAAACACTCCAGGAAGTAAAGCACCTTAGACAGATTCCTAAACTCTGATTCCCAATGAAGGTAGAATACGGCACTTGAAAGGCTTCCTAGGACTACATCAGCTCTCCGGACTCCACTCAGAGCGGTCTGTCACTGCTCTTTGTTTCATCAACAGTATCTAGACCTAAAATCTTCCAAGGGTGAGGCCAGGCACAGTGGTTCACACCTGTAATCCCAGCACTTTAGGAGGCTAAGGCAGGAGCATCGCTTGAGCACAGGAATTTGAGAACAGCCCAGGCAATGTGGGAAAACCTGGTCTCTACAAAAAAATACAAAAATTAGGTGTGGTGGTGGGTCCCTGTGGGCCCAGCTACTGAAGAGGCTGAGGTAGGAGGATTGCTTGGGCCCATGAGGTCAAGGCTGCAGTGAGCTGAGTGCACGCCACTGCACTCCAGCCTGGGTGACAGAGCAAGACTTTGTCTCAAGAAAAATGAAAATCTTCCAAGGGTGGATTTTATGGTATGTGAAGTATATCTCAATAAAGCTGTTACGAAGTTGGGGGGAAATGTTCAAGGAAGCCAGGTTCTCACCTCCCAGCCACCTTCCTCCAATAACATTCTGCTGCCATCATCACTATTTCAGAGAAGTGTCTTTCTCCCCAGACTCCATACCTGCATGCCTGTCCTTCTTCCACTGTTCCTCCTCCAACGAGGCCAGCACGCATGGTGTGTTTAAGTAAAACACCAACCTTTAGCAGAGCCTGGGGAATTGGGAGTGCAAATACTATTGAGGGCATCCCAAGTCCACTATGCCAGGTCCTTGTGTCCCTTATGTTCATGTGTCCCTATTGTCCCATACTTTAGTTCTTCTACAGAACTAAAGTATGACCTCCAGGACCTCATTGCCTACAGTTACAACAGAAGAAAGAGAAGGGTGTAGAAAACACAGAGAACTCAGGAAAACGGTCACTCTTATGACCTTTTTAGGCTCATAACATATGCACCGTGTTTGTGGCATGAACAATGAAAGGATGCCTACCTTCCAGGGGCTTGAGAGGATCAAAAGGATAAAAAACTACTTTATAACTCGATCATGCTATATACATAGAAGAGGCTGCAATTATTATTTTAACTGTTTTACCCTATATCTCCTCCCCAACCTACCTTATCCCTTGTTAAGAACCTAGTTCCAGGCCCAGCGTGGTGGCTCACTTCTATAATCCCATCACTTTGGGAGGCCAAAGTGGGCAGATCACCTCAGTCCAGGGGTTTGAGACCAGCCTGGTCAACATGGTGAAACCCCATCTCCACTAAAAATATAAAAATTAGCTGGGTATGGTGGCACACACCTGTAGTCTGAGCTACTCAGGAGGCTGAGGCATGAGAATTGCTTGAATCTGGATGGAGGTTGCAGTAAGCCCAGATCATACCACAGTACTCTAACGTGGGTGACAGAGGGAGACCCTGTCTCAAAAAAAAAAAGAAGAACCTAGTTCTTTTACCTGAAAAGACTCCATTGGCCTTAGGGTAACCCTCTCATGGGCTCTGCCCAGAGAGACTTTTTCCAGCATTGACTCAATGTCTTATCTGGGGTATCCTCCAAGGCTTCTCTCCCAGCCTGTTCTCTGTGTTCTTTCCACCACACTTTTCCACAGGACTGTCCTCCCAGCCTGAGTAGGGACACTCCTCTAACAGCTGTGTCTTCTTCTCAGCCTTTTTGCCAGGTCTTTTCTGAGCAAACCGGTAGCTCACAACCACCCCAGTCATGTGTGCTGATACGGCTCTGCACTGTCTTCTCTTTTACCCTTGGAAAAAATCCCAGGGGACCCTCCTCCTCAGCTCACATTGACTTCACCTGTTCTGGGACAGGGCCATGCTTGCCACACCAGCCCACAGCTGTCTGTGTCCCTGGCCCTCCCACCTGCCCCCTCCCCAGCCTCCCTGCCCTGCAGGCCTGGGCCAGGTTCTGAGTGCCTTTGTCAGGACTGAGAGGGAGCCTCTGTACATGTCCCCAGTTGCTGCTGTCACTCTGGGAAAGACGTCTGGCCGGGTGTAGGAAGAAGGACAAAACAGGTGTGGCTGCCAGGGAGGGCAGGCCAGCAGAGCCACAGGACAGAAACGCCCTTTCTTCATAGAGCGAGACTGCCAACTTCTCAAAGGCCTCACTTCGGCACAGTTCCATGCCCTCTGCAGAACCAGTCCCAGACAGACTTCCTCACTGGCTGTTCACTGGAGCTTGGCTTCCTTGTGTTGTGGCAATGGGCCAGGAGGAACAGGAACTCCAGAGACCCAATGTGTGCAACAGGGCATGCTTTAAAGCATTGATTTTAAATGAAAACAAATACTGATACATCATGGACTGGAATCCAACATTTATGTTCACGGGGGTGTACAGGTTAAGAGCACAGGCTGAGACCTGAGTCCAGATCTTGACTCGCACTAGTTTGA